GTGACTGCTTCAGTCCCCAAATGAATCCCACAATAGCTTCATATAGTGAGATGATTCGTTGACACGAGACTTGCTTCAGGAGGCTTGCGCGCACCAAAACACACCTTAAAGGCACCCGACACACACCACAACATGTCGGTTTGTTGTTGGAGTTGTTGCGTGCGTTGTTGCCGTTTTCATCACTGCTTTTGGTTGATCAACATGGAGCCAACCAGGAATGGTAAATGGACTGTACTTATATAAAACCTTTCTATCTTATTTCAAGATACTCAAAGCGCTTTACACTACAATCTGTGTCCTCATTTACCCATTCACACAGCACTCTACTAGATCCCTACAAAGCTAATTGAACAAATCATTCTAATGAGACTAATCAGAGCTTTATCACATTCATACACTGATGGGACACACATCAGAGGCTATGAGGGGTTCAGTGTCTTGCCCAGGGACACTTCAGCATGTGACTGCTGGTGGATTCGAACCCCCAACTCTCACATTGGAGGACAAATGTTCTAACCACTCAGCCACAGTCGCCCTGAAGCTGTTCTCAAATGTGGGAACACTTCGAGCTGATCATCAGTCCCAATAAGGCGAGTAGTTTATTACAAAACAAGCAACTTGAATAATTGTAAGCTGGGAGGGCGGATCCAGGATTTTGCGAAGGGGGGCGGGGGTAAGTTAGGTACATTTGCATGTGTGGTGATTTAAGTGACTTCTATGACCTAACAGTTTGTTTTCTTGTTTGATCATTACTGTTCATACAGGTCCAGTGCTTGTATTGTTTCATGCAACTGGCGTATAATAACAATAGTCCTTGATGCTTAAGACACTACAGAGCTAAGCACGAAAGCAAGCAGGAGAACACTGTTCATGGTAGGTTATGTTCAATATATATGTTTATATATGTTTATCAATATATATGTTTATCCACACAATCCTACACACCATCCTCCACAGATAGTTGCAAGTTGGTAATTATGAACACACACACAGAGAAACACGTCTGTGTTCATGACGGTCAAATTTTTCTTTTTCTTTCAGCTTCCAACCTTTGGACAAGTTTTGACAAGTTTTGACAAGTTTTGATCGAGATGCTACACTGACAAGAGCTCACAGGAATCATACATCGGATGCCACAGTTGAAGTTCAGAGATACTCATCTGATCATCCCTTGCAAAGATCAGAGGATCCTCTGGCCTACTGGAATGATCACAGAAATGTTTATCCACATTTGTTCTTGTTGGGTAAATAATATTTATGCATATTTATGCCTCATCTGCTCCTTGTGAACATGTTCATGTGAACATGTACAACAAACCAGTTCTGCTTGTGATAAGATGGTCTCTTTGGTACTCCCTCCTCCATTGCCAGGTTTGTTCCACTTTGGAGTAAGCTGATGGGGGAAGAATCAGTTTTGTTGTGTGTTTCCTTGACTGATGAAGCCTTCTGGATCGAAGGCGAAACGTTTCAGCACAAAAAAAGAAACTGTCCAGATGACCTGACTGAAAATTTTTGGATTTTATACCTGGATTATTGAGCATGGACTTTGTTGTTATCAACCAGTTTGACAAAACTGTCAACAAGGAAGAGGGCTGGCAATGGAGGAGGGACGTACGTACCAAGGTGACCATCTTATCACAAGCAGAACTGGTTTGTTCCACTTTGGAGTAAGTTGTTGGGGGAAGAATCAGTTTTGTTGTGTTTCCTTGACTGATGAAGCCTTCTGGATCGAAGGTGAAACGTTTCAGCACAAAAAAAAACTGTCCAGATGACCTGACTGAAAAATATTGGATTTGTTGTCTACTATTTCACCACTAGATGTCACTGAAATGAACCTTTGAATGAATGAACCCAAGTTCAATACAACTGGCACCGTGGTTCGATACTGCTTTATTGCTTCATTTGGCCATCACTAGTCATGACCCACATCAAAACAAACATTAACATTACAAGGACCCTCACCAGTATGCATACCGCTAGAACCGATCAACAGAGGTCACCATCTCCTCTGTGGTCCACACTGCTCTCACCCACTTGGAGCAGAAGGACTCTTACGTCCGTATGCTCTTTGAGGACTTCACGTCCGCCTTCAACACCATGATCCCCCAAACCCTGATGGACAAACTAGTCACACTAGGACTAAGCCCCTCCATTTGCAACTGGGTACTAGACTTCTTAACAAACAGACCTCAGTCAGTGAGGATCCACAACTTCTCCTCTTCCACCATAACCCTCAGCATTGGCTCTCCTCAGGGATGTGTGTTGAGCCCTCTCCTGTTCACTCTGCTCACGTATGATTGTGCAGCTACCCATCCAGGCTGTCATATTGTAAAGTTTGCAGATGATACAGTGGTGGTGGGATGCATCACAAACACTGATGAGTCCAGCTACAGGCAGGAGGTGGAACACCTGGAGAGCTGGTGCAGAGAGAATAACCTTCACATCAATGTGAAGAAGACAAAAGAGATGATCATGGACTTCAGAAGGAACAAACACACCTACACGCCCCTGAACATAAGAGGATCTGCGGTGGAAGTGGTCTCCAGCTACAAGCACTTGGGTGTACACTTGAATGACAACCTCAGCTGGATCAACAACACCACCAGCCTGATCAAGAAAGCTCATCAGACACTCTACTTCCCCAGGCGGCTGAGATGAGCTGGTCTGGGAAGCTCAGCCCTCACCTCCGTCTACAGGTGTGCAGTGGAGAGCATCCTGTGCTCCAGCATCAACGTGTGCCATGGAGGCTGCACAGCTGCAGAAAGAAAAGCTTTGCAGAGAGTGGTGAAGGCTGCACAGAAGATGTTGGAGTCAGCCTCCCCACCATCACAGACATCTACAGGTCCTTCTCAAAAAATTAGCATATTGTGATAAAGGTCATTATTTTCCATAATGTAATGATAAAAATGAAACTTTCATATATTTCAGATTCATTGCACACCAACTGAAATATTTCAGGTCTTTAATTGTTTTAATACTGATGATTATGGCATACAGCTCATGAAAACCCAAAATGCCTGTCCCAGAAAATTAGCATATTTCATCCCACCAATGAAAGACAAGTGTTTTTAATACAAAAAACGCCAACCTTCAAATAATCATGTTCAGTTATGCACTCAATACTTGGTCGGGAATCCTTTTGCATGCATGACTGCTTCAATGCGGCGTGGCATGGAGGCAATCAGCCTGTGGCACTGCTGAGGTGTTATGGAGGCCCAGGATGCTTCGATAGCGGCCTTAAGCTCATCCAGAGTGTTGGGTCTTGCGTCTCTCAACTTTCTCTTCACAATATCCCACAGGTTCTCTATGGGGTTCAGGTCAGGAGAGTTGGCAGGCCAATTGAGCACAGTAATACCATGGTCAGTAAACCATTTACCAGTGGTTTTGGCACCGTGAGCAGGTGCCAGGTCGTGCTGAAAAATGAAATCTTCATCTCCATAAAGCTTTTCAGCAGATGGAAGCATGAAGTGCTCCAAAATCTCCTGATAGCATTGACCCTGCCCTTGATAAAACACAGTGGACCAACACCAGCAGCTGACATGACACCCCAGACCATCAATGACTCTCTTCTACCGGACCGAGACCTAGGTTTTAGCCCGGGCCAGAGTTCGCCTTTTTGTTCCGTGACAGAGTTCGATGGCGCGTTCACACCTCCCTAAACGAACCGGACTTTCTAGGAAAATGAGCTAGAGTTCGATTAAAGCGGACTAAACAGGGCTAGTGTGAATGCACCCTTAAACCCTGCCCAATGCCTTGCTGCCCTTCCACCTGGTGTCATGCAACATCATAGGCGTCGCAACCATTATATGTGAAGGGGACAAGTCCCCCCCACATTCCAAAAACGTTAATTTGGACCCCCTCACTTTTACTATGAAACATTAGTTCAGGCGGCGCAGTTTCTCTTTCTTCCTGAACAAATCCATTCCACTTGATTAATAGGAGAATACTCAAACCACTAAAACGCCACTCCAGGTTTTCCTGGTTACCTCCAACTCTAAACACAGCAGCCTGTTGCCACGGTCACAATATACGGTGGTCACAGAATATGGTGTAACACCTGCAGTGTCTCTGTGCTCTCCTTCTGCTTCGGCAGAAATCGCGCACAGGTGGAGGAGATGGAGACAGCTCTGTGTTACTCGCTCGCCAGTTTAGCAAGCTTTTTGCGGGCAGTTGTTGACCAGGGGGTTGATCATAAACATATATTCATGTTAGGAGGAGAGAAGTGGAGCGCTACATCTGTAGCATCTTAGCTTAGCAGTAACTGTGACGCTGTAAGACGCTGCAGGTGTTAAGAGACACTGTGTGTTCAGGTGCATTAAAGCTGAAATGTCTTTAAAACCCCACACCTTGTTGTCCTCAAGCGTCATGAGAAACATCATTTAGATGAGTAGTGTTGAACACAAGTAAAAAAGTCCAGTGGTGATGTTTTTTATTTCTCTATAAAGACAAATAGTGCCGACCTGATGCTCTGTATTAAAGTGTATTAAAGTTAAAATTACTTTAAACCCAGAGCTGAATTTACACAAACTTGGTGAAAAACATGTTTTAAATGTGTGGAATTAAAGGAAATCTAGGTGAAATGTTGCTTTTTTGTCACTAGCAACACCTTTTTTTTACTCGCACACACCTACACACATCATTGTGTCCCCCCCCCCCCCCCCCCCCACATTACCGATGCTTCCGACGCCCTTGTGCAACATGTACCTTCCTTCTCTGCATCACGCCAGGCAGCTCTCTGCCATCGCCTGTCATTGTCCCTGCGTTTAGCGCTGCTCCCTGAGTCCAGCAACTTTAGACTTATGATGTTAAACAGAACCTTTAGTCATTTCGATGGGGCCAGCGCCTCCAGTGTCACCTCCAGGTGTTTAAAGGGCCCACAGCCCGCTGGAGCCCCCCCACCCTACCCAACAACAAACACGAAGCAGCTAGTGCTCCCGTTAACCGGACAGGTGATTGAATGAGGCAGCTTAGCTAGCTGCGATAACGGAGCAGCTTCTTACCAGCACAGCTCTCTCCACCTGACTGGCAGTGGACATCTTCGGCAGCTCAGACAGGGACCTCTGTGAGTTCAACATTTTAAATCCCGTCGACAGAGGCAAAAACCCTGAAGTGACAGTTCAACAACAACGTCCTTTCTATCACATGAAGCGAGACGACTCGCTGCGTACTAGCTTAGCGGACGATGTGTTGCGTTCAAAAATATAGGAAATTACCTTTATCTAATTTATTACGGGATTTATGTGATTTAAGACTTGCCTACTTAACACATTACAGTTTTTACTCTGACCACATAACAAATAAATGCATTTAAATTATCTACAAAATAATTATTCTCATGCTAACTGAAGTATTAAGGTTTGTGTAGTTTCAGTTCGTCATTAGCCTAGCCTGGAAGACTTCTGCCGTTTTCTTCATGCTCTGTGCTCTATGACAGATGTCACGACTGCTATACTAACTACTGATAGCTATTTAACCGAACATCACATCAAACACGAATACTCTATCCATTTACCAGTCTCAACAAAACAAGAATTATCATTTTAACCTGATTTACGTGAACGTCCCATTATGTTGGTCACACACTTGCAATTAAAATAGCCCCGCCCAACAACCCATATATGAGCATACAACTTCCGCCCACTGTCACAAACAAATGGATCTACCAAAGTTCAAATGACAAGGAAAACGTGGTTGTTGCATATTTTTCAAGTACTTCTTTAGATCTTGATGAATTTGAAGTCCATGAACTGAAAGCTATTTTGCGATTATTTATTTGTGATTCATTTAAAAAGCACAGCTCAATGTCAAAGTTTTGTTACTAAAACCACAAAATTTGGATGTTGCCTAAAAACAGAATGCAATGATTTATAAACCCCATGAAACCACAAAAGATTATTCACAAAAGAGCCTATAAAACATATCAAAAGTTTAAAGAGTTAGTACTTTTTTTAAATTAAAAATAGTAATTTGGTGGCAGCAACAAATCTCAGCACAGTTGGGACAGAGCCATGTTTACCAGTTTTACTGGTCTTGTCTTTTTTAGGCCCGAGCAGCGAAGTGCTGCGAAGGCCTAAAAATGCTGCTTCCACCCCCATGCTTCACAGTAGGGATGGTGTTTCTGGGATGGCACTCATCATTCTTCGTCCTCCAAACACGGCGAGTGGAATCAAGACCAATTAAAGCTGCAAGCAGCATTGAAGGCCCTCGCAGCAAAGCGCCGCTCCGGCCTTACGGCGACCGCGCAAGCTCCAGCGACTCCGCCCAGTCACCATTGAGAATGCTCTCGCGCCCATCTCCTGCTCGTTCAAAAGGTTGCACATTCGCCGAACCTTCAACATCACCGAGAAGGGGTTCTCTGCAGACCAAAAGTGGGCGTTTCTGGCGAATAGGCGTTTATGGGCGGCGAACACTGATTGGCTAACAGTATTTAATAAGCGTTTGTCGGCGGCGAACACTGATTGGCTGTGGGTAACCCTCAAAGTCACGAGGATTATTGATGAGGTAACGTTTCTTTGCGATGTTTGACAAAGAAATATGGTTTATTGTACTTATAAAGAATGTTATGTTTTCACTTATGCATATTATTGAAGTACGTTTATTGTAGGTCACTATAGTTTCGACCGTTCTCTCGTTGTTGTCGTAACGCACTGAGGTAAAGTGAACCTCCACTCGGCTCCGGCAGCTCTCACTGTGCACGTTTACAACAACTGGGTGTTGCTTTTCAAAATAAAAGCTGAAAATAAAAGTTCTTAATACTTGAAAAATAAATATTTAAAAGCTGAGTATAACTGAAAAATATGAAAAACAAATAAATAAAAGTTGTTATTAGCTGAAAAATAAATAAATAAAAGCTGTTAATTATATCTATGTCTTTCTGCCATGTCAGGGACCACTCTCACTTCAGGTTGACTCTAGAAGACCCCAAGATGTTGCCCAACATCTGATGTTGACTTTCAAAATAAATCGCCTCCAAAGTTTAACATAGTTCATAGTAATAGTCAAAATTTGCTGACCTTGTTGCAACATGAGTTAACACAAACATGAGTGTAAATTGTCAATGATTCAATAATGAGTAATAACTTATTCAATAAAAAGTCTGTAATGTGTCAATAATAGTCAATAATTCATTCAAGAATAGATTATGGGTGTTTGGTATGGCTCAGTGGCTAAAATGGGTTGGATGTTAGAGAAATTACTTAATTTTAAATTACCTGAATGTACAAATTCCTTCATTTATAGTTAAACTTTAGGAAATCAACTTTTTTTTTCCTTGTGAAAAAAATATCAAAATTAACTTTAAAATCCAATCCAGGATTAAGTAACAACTAGCAACACCCTAACTGTACTATGTTCTGTGTTTCCAACAGATGCTATGATGACTTCTAAAAATGGATGTCCCAATAAACACATTATAAAATTCAATGATGCATCAAATGTTGTCTGAGTATGTTTTAAGGTAATAACAAATGTGAAATCTGGAAAACAAAGAGAATTCCTGAATCTGTCTTGTGTGAGGGCAGCACGGTGGCGCAACTGGTAGAGCTGCTGCCTCTCAGCGAGCAGGTCCCTGGTTCAAATCCCGGTCCGGGGGCCTTTCTGGGTGGAGTTTGCATGTTCTCTCCGTGCATGCGTGGGTTTTCTCCGGGTACTCCGGTTTCCTCCCACAGACCAAAAACATGCATGTTAGGCTGATTGGTAACTCTAAATTGCCCCTAGGTGTGAGTGAGAGAGTGAATGGTTGTTTGTCTCGTTTGTCTCTATGTGTCCCTGTGATGGACTTGCGACCCGTCCAGGGTGTACCCCACCCCTCGCACAGTGATTGCTGGACATGGGCACCAGCGACCCCCGTGACCCAAAATGGAATAAACGGGTAAAGATAATGGATGGATGTCTTGTGTGCTTTGATGTGTACATAAGTTTATTGGAGGTCCTGAAACAACTTTTCTGAGAACACAAAAGATTTTTATTTTACCTTTGGCCAAGATGTCAGTTTGAAATCAGGCTGCTTACTGCAAAACCAAGAGGTTTTTTTAAGACGGTCTTCATTTGTATTGTTTTGTCCACTATAAGCTAAATGTAATTTCTAAAATATGGATAAATCTGATCTCATCATGCAGCATAAGCAACTGGGTATAGGTGTGAGGGCCAAAAGTCTGGTTATGTACTGACTCCTAAATGTGCTTGTTTTCTACTGAAACATGGAGTAGGGTTGACCTTTAAAACGTGAGACAGCTGAGGAAGTTAACCAGTAAACAGAATACCTGCTCCAGTTGCAGAAATCTGACAGAAACTGACAATCACTCATCTGTAGTGACTGCAGGTTGAACAAGACAATGTGAAGTTAAAGGAAACCTCCTTTGTCCCAAGGCCAGTTTAAGTATCATTAATATTTTTCTTTCTTTATGAATCGATTGTAACTTTGTTCACATTTTTCAACAACCAAAATGGAATTTGTTTTTTAATGTTATGGCTAGGTATTAAAAAAAAAAACTAACATTTAGCTCCCCCATTACCCAGTTATGTTGCTCTTATTTTGAAATGTAACCGGAAGTTCTGTGTTAAGAGAGTCGAAAAAAGAAGTTATGGAGACGCCGCGGCAGTATACTGGAGCAATGTCGAACCGAGACGCCGCCAGTGTTGAATCTGAGACGCCGCTAATGTCGAACCGGTTAACACCATAGACATAATATGCCTGTGGTTAACACAATCTGCCAATAACGCCTTGTTTTTAGACATAATGTGTCAGTGGTTACGGCATTTTATCGTTCAGCCTTTTTTTCTATCGTCCAATCAAATATGGCCGGCCAGACTCGCCTATTTTCATATAGTCCAATCAGATATGATCGCCCAGATACGCCCATTTTCCTATAGTCCAATCAGATATGACCGCCCAGATACGCCTTCCGAATTTGGCTGCAGAGATACCTACTTGACATCACCTGCGACTGCGGGAGCTCCAGCAACGCTTCCCAGTTGCCATTGCGAACAATCTCATGCCATTCCCTCACGCGTCCACCAGGGTGCGCGTATGCCGAATTTCAGCAATCACCTTCCACCCATATTAGTATGAGTCCGGCTGCAAGCCTTACAAGTTTGGCTAAAATCCGACCTTCTAGACAGGACTTATTGTCACTTCCTGTTTTGTTGCGAATGTAAAGAACTTCCTTTAGGCTTTTCAACATGATCATGGAGAATATTGTTTTTCACACAAGGCAGCTGATGGCTCCATATAAGGTCAGAGAAATGCGTGTTTGCTTACCCTGCGGAGCGGGGCTCGGTCTGTTTACATTCACACTGTACTCGAACCGCGCTGGAGTTCGCTTCTACCGGACCGAGACCTAGGTTTTAGCCCGGGCCAGAGTTCGCCTTTTTGTTCCGTGACAGAGTTCGATGGCGCATTCACACCTCCCTAAACGAACCGGACTTTCTAGGAAAACGAGCTAGAGTTCGATTAAAGCGGACTAAACAGGGCTGGTGTGAATGCACCCTAAGTCAAGTCATGAATCAACAATACCAATGTGTCTACAAGTGCTCATTGATGAAGCATAAAAAAATCTGGTTTAGATCAGATCATGTATCACTGAGATATAACTGATGGAATAATGTATGGGGTGCACTTGAGTCATATGTTAAACCACAATATCAATGTGTTTAGACGTGGTCACTGATCATGCACAAAAAAAACTGGTTCCGATTGGATGACGTATCACTGAGATATAACTGTTGGAATAATGTAGGGGGCGCACTTGAGTCAAATGTTAAAGAACAACATCAATGCGTCTATAAGTGCTGACTGATCACGTACAATAAATCTGGTACATTTTGGATGATATTTCACTGAGATATAACTGTTGGAATAATCTAGGGGGTGCACTGAAGTCAAAAGTTAAACAACAATACCAGAGTGTCTGGAAGTGGACACTAATGATGCACCAAAACTCTGGCCCAGATCAGATGATATATCACTGAGATATAACTGATTAAATAATCTAGAGGGCACAATGGAGTTATATGTTAAAGCACAATATCAATGTGT